GAAAGAGAAAGAGAGAGAGGGAGGGGTTGACGATTGGAGACATGCTATATATTTTGCCTCGGGCAGTGGAATGGAAGGTCAGCCCCAAGGGGTTGGAGGAAAGAAGGCAATGGCAGTAAATCCCCTTAGTTGAGGGCAACCAATGCTGCCCTGGGACGTCTCCAAAGCTGAAACCCTATACAGGATGCTGGGTCCGCTTTCCAGCAGGTGCTGCTCCGCAGAAGTAGGATGGAGCCATCGCACACGGGTCCCATTATAGGAAGGTAGTCGAATCACCTCCTAAAGTGGGGCACCCTACCACATGTTAAAAAAAAAAAAAAACAGTTACGAAACAAACCTCTAATCAGTGAAGAGTAGGCTCCGTCGAAATAGATAGATAGTACAGAGTACCGTACCCAATAGAATTGAACAGGTATTATTGATTTCAAGAGAGATTGAATTTTGGAGCCAATGGCTCGTAAGCGGTGGGCAAAAAAAAAAAAAAAAAAAGCGCCACCATCAGCCCTTGTCAAAACATTAAAAAAGGGAAAATTCCATCTGTACCCCACTTAAAGGTGGGAATACCGGCTATACCCAGTCCCGGCACCAACTTGCATCTATACCCACCGGCTGTTCAACTTTGCATAGTACCCACCCTTTCCCCTGTTCGAAATTGTAGGTGTACCCTATCCCACAGGCCATGGATTCGGAGCACCAAATTATGCTCATGCCCAACAAGTAGACCGTTGTGGCCCAACAGCTGCTGGGTATGAGCATAATTTCAGCCATCCAGTTGCAGGGTATCTGAACAGTTTGGCCGCGCCTCCTCAGGTCCCGGGTATGCCCATAATTTTGCCTGGGTATGTCCATAAGTTGTGCATTCCGGTAGTTGGTTACAAGTGCAATTTTGAGGTACCAACCTGGGTCCACCTCGGTCCTGGGCACGCAAACAATTTCCACCAGCCATTTTGTGGGTATAGACCCAAGTTGGCGCTGGGACTGGGTATAGCCAAGTGGGGTACAGATGCAATTTTCCCTTAAAAAAAAAGGAAAATCACCACTAGCCCTCGCTAGAAAACAAAAAGTAACGGGCCTAGCTCACTTGGTACACCCATCAACTGTTGAATGCATACCTGAGTTTGAATTCGGATGGAACTAGATGAATGGGATTTGTGAATTTCCTGCGGATGGTCAGTGTGATGATGGTTTTTTATTTTTTATTTTATTTTTTCATGGAGAACACACCACCTGCCTGCGGCACACCTCTTCATAGCCCTCTTCTCCCGCAGGGTATTACCAACAGGAGAGGGAGCACAATCATCCTCTCTCTCTCCCCACACACACACACACAAAAAAAAAAAAAAAAACTGCTCGAAGCACAAATCGCAAGTCCTGCTCCTCCTCGTGCCACCGCCTGCTCCGCCCACCTCCTCCTCCCCTCCCACCTCTTCTCCCTCATGAGCTTCCTCCTCATCCATCACCTCATCGTCCTTTCCATCCTCTTGCTTCTCTTCCTCATTCCGTTCACCGTCCTCCTCCCACTCCTCATCCTCCCCCACTCATTGTCGTCCCAGCGGTCATCCTGCCCCTCTTCGTCCCACTCCTGCCCCTCGTCCTCCTCCCACTCCTTTTCCTCCCAAGTCCCCCCAAGCTCCTCCTCCTCCGAGTGCCCGTCCTCCCCCTGCTCCTCCCACTCCTTGTCCCACTCTTGCTCTTCCCACTAATCCTTCTCCCACTTCTCTCCCTCCTGTCCGTTATCGTCCTCCACCGCTCCTCGTATACAGAAGATTAGCATGGCCCCTGGAAAAGAAGTCTGAATGTCTCCGGTGCATACAATCGTCCAGATATCTGTCATATGTTGAGTAGCCCCAGCCCCTTGTCCTACTCCCACTCCTTTTCCTCCCAACGTCCACCTCTCCTCTCTTTTACACTGTGAGAAAGAAAGCAGATTTCATTCTCTTTCCGTGTTTTTCTCTGTTCTCCTCTCTTGTACTCCGCTTTCTGTTTGTCAACTTTGTCCATCTTTTTTTTTTTTTTTTTTTTTRAAAAAACATCCACAGGATGCCTATCATTGCGGGTGATAAGAGCATCCTCCAATGATAGGACTCCCTCTTAGAGATGTCTCCAATCTATTGGTGGGGAGCTGCACCAGCTGGAAACCGGGTCCAGCATCCCAATTACAGAAATCGAGCACGTTGTAAGTTGCACACGATGGACAGCATTGATTAACCCTGAACGGGGGGGATTAACTGCCCATCAGTGGCAACAGCCCTTCACCTCCCTAACCCTAGTGAGGGAGAGTCTCCAGACCCCTTCAATCTAGAGACACACCCTACCCCCTTCCAATCCCGTCCACTCATGAGGTCACAGTTGTTATCTGTGCGCTATCCCAGCCATAACCGGCCGACTCCTACCCAACGAAAGTATTACACTTCCAACTATTAACCTATCCATATGGTTATGGTTGCTTGAGTGCTAGAAAAAGAGACCACGTAGCATCACAATATGCTAACCGCCCAACTCCTACCCGAGGAGATCATTACAATTCCATCCATTAGCCCCACCCTATGATTATCACTGCTTGAGTTCCCGTAAAAGAAACCATCTCGCATCACAATATGCTAATTCGCTGTTGTTGTTCGATCATATCCATAAAATGCCCCATGGGCAAGCCAGATCAACCACACGGTGCAGGCCCCCCATGTAATCACTACAGCTTTTATCGTGGGGTTATCGTGCCAGGTGGAAAATGTCACACATTTCACGCCGTCCCTAACTGGCAATCGACCCCCGTTGTTACAAATGGCACTGTCCTGCCCACTACAGGGGCGACACATCACAGTCTCCAAAATCTCCATTACAACACGGTCCCTTGTGGTCAGACAGTAATGTATCGTTATTGTTATTCTCTGATTAATATCCAAGGGCAGCAGCAAAATACCCAGCTATCGTCAAAGCTGACATGGCAGCGGTCTGTACTTACTCCCCTAGCTGTCTTCCTTCTGTCTGCCCTGGTCTTTTACTCCCTCATCTCTTCCACCAGGGGACCTTCCATAACCTCTGTGGCTGTCTTCCTCCTGTCTCCCCTGGTCCATTACTTCCCCATCGCTTCCTCCAAAGGATCTTCCACACCCATCGCCCCATCCCCGCCGGCCCAAGGAACTCCCCTTTCCCTACACCAGAGGGGGACACCGAGCGTCTCCGCACCCCTCCCCTCGTTCCCATGGTCAACTCAACCCAAACAAGGAGACCACCACCAAGCCATCTAGCAGATGTGCCCGGTCGATAGTGCAGGCAACTCACCTCTAATTGAAGGCACCTCATACAACTGACGCTCACTGCCATAGAGAGCCGGACGCCGTTCTTTTCAGCACTGCACACCCGTTGATGTTGTTGTGGTCGAATGTCGTCCATCAAAGCGTGGGGGACTGTTTGTTGCCCCAGTTGTGTTTGAATTTCCATGCACGACTCATCGTGGGCCAGGTCATCCATTTCCCCCTCACCATTCATCACCGGAGCTCCTACGACCATCACCATAGGGGGTAATACATAACCCTCTGTTTTTGTAGTTGCCGCTAGACATCCAGATGTTTTCCATCGTCCGTACATAAGTCACGCTGCACCTCGTTTTTGTCACACTCCACCTCCTCATACTCACACTGTGCTTCCTCCCCTCCCTGTTTTCATAGCCCATCAAGATAGCGGGGTTATAGATAACCCTCTGTTTTTGTAGTTGCCGCTGCGCATCCAGATGTTGTTTTCCATCGTCCATACATAAGCATCGTCCATACATAAGTCACGCTGCACCTCGTTTCCGTGACACTCCACCTCCTCATACTCACACTGTGCTTCCTCCCCTCCCTGTTTACATAGTTGATCGACTCCATCCAGAGCAGGTGACGGTTGCTCGCCAGGCCGACAACCCACTTGTCACCCTGCCAGAAGGTCGACCAAAAGTCGTTTAACCTTCCAGAGCAATCTAGTGCACTCGCGCAGCCCAGCCTTCACCCGTACTCTATCAGTGTCGCCCAAGCGTTGGAGGGAGAGATTTGCATAGAGCTCCTCCTCCCATCCGATGAACGTTTCCTCTCCCTCAAACAAAAATTTTGCCGGCAGATTGTGGCTGTATTGGGACAACACCATATAAAGTCTTCCACCTGCCGTTTGTACATGCTCACAATCTCCAGCGCTTCAAGCAACGCCATATACCCTGAAGGATGGTGCATGGCAGAAGGGATGCCCTGCAGCCCCTCATCCCGCATGATTGTCGTCTCCACCACCGTGGTTGCTGATCAGTTGTGGTGGAAGCTGTTGTTGTCATATGTATCGATCCGATTATTGAATCTGTTGTTGTTATGGCTGCCCAAAAAAAACGCACCTATGCTTCTATCCCGTCTTTCAGCGCTCGCACCGACGTGCCATCTCCGGAGTTGCCACGTGGGAAGCCCACGTACGTCCGG